AAACAAGGGGCAGAAATCCAGCACACCACACCATGCCTTGGGCAATGCACGCGAGGCCGCGGCCAGCTGCCTGAGAACTGGGGTGGTGTACTTCTGTTACTGTGAGCAGCCGAACACTGGGCAGAGGGCAGGCCATTGCCTACTGCCTGCTTGTCGCGGCTGGCTCCTAGGGCCAACATCAGCTGGTGTCATAGCCAGCACCAGGCGCATGGTGCCTGGCATCCCAGCCACTTGCACCGCCCCAACCTGGTCATGAGGACGCGGCCAGTGTGCTCAAGGGAGGAGGAGCAGTCTACCAACTGCTCGCTGGAAATGCTCCAGCTCCAAGGAGCCGAGGCTGGATCCAGGCTTAGAGTAGAAAAAACTGCCATGCGGAGTACACTGAGCTCCACAGAGACAGCTCCAGGGCACGTGAGAGCCGGGCGAGTACTGGGCGACTCTGCACCTCGCTTGTTTTCCTCAAGGAAAACAAGTAAACATGGGCAAAGGAGCGCCTAAGAAGCCGAGAAGACGTCATCCTGTGCATTCATTGCGCAAACTTGGCAGGAGGAGCACAAGAAGCAGCACAAGATGCTTCCATTAACTTCTCAGTTTTCTAAGAAGTGCTCAGAGAGGTGGAAGACCATGTCTGCTAAAGAAAAAGGAAAATTTGAAGACATAGCAATAGCAGACAAGGCTCATTAAGAGAAATCAAAACATTCCTCCCAAAAGGAGAAACAAAAAAGAACTTCAAGGATCCCAGCCCACCCAAGAGGCCTCCTTCGGCCTTCTTCTTGTTCTGTTCTGAGTATCATCCAAAAATCAAAGGAGAACATGTGGCCTCTCCATTGGTGATGTTGCAAAGAAACTTGGAGAAACGTGGACTAACACTGCAGCAGATGACCAGCAGCCACAAGAAAAGAAAGCTGCTAAGCTGGAGGACAGGTAGGAAAAGGACATCGCTGCCTCCTGGGCTAACGGAAGACCGATGCAGCAAAAAGGGAGTTGTCAAGGCTGAGACAAGCAAGACAAAGAAGGAAGAGGAGGAGGAGGAAGATGAAGAGGATGGTGATGACGATCAATTAAGTTGGTTCTAGCGCATTTTTTCTTGTCTAGGAAGCATTTAACCCTCCTGTACACAACTCACCTCTTTTGAAAAAAAAGGATTGAAATGTAGGGCTGTGTAAGATTTGTTTTTAGGGTTGGGGAGATGGCTCAGTAGAATAAGCACTTGCCTGGCAAGCACAAGGTCCTGAGTTCAATCCCTGACTCCACCAAAAAAAAAAAACCAAATTAAAAATAAATAAATTTTAAAAAAGGTGTGTGTGTGTGTATTAAAAAAATATTTGTTTTTATTATTTTTTTTAAAGTTTAGTTTTTTTTTTTTTTTTTTATTTAGTGTGTGTGTGTGTGTGTGGCCAGCTCAGCCCACCAGGGGGCGGGGCTGGCTGGCATGTGGTGCTGGGGGATTGAACCACGGTCCCTGTGCTTTGCCAAGCTTGTTCCAAGTAGGTGCTTTAGACCACCGAGCCATCTCTCCAGCCCAAGATCTGTTTTTAAACTGTACAGTTTTGGTGTTTTTTTTATAATTAACACGCTTCCGAATGTGTCTTTAGCCCTGCCCTGGCGGTATTTTCACAGCCACTAACCTCACCTGGCACAGTCTGGGGTTGTAAATTAGCATGGACATTCAGAGCAGGTTCTTGTTGGTGCACAGTTCATATTAGTTATATATGGGGACGACAGGTTTTCATCCTCAGTTGTCTCTGATGCAGTTTATACAAAATAATTGACATTCTGTTAACTGAATACCACTCTAATTGAAAAAAATAAAAAAAGTTACAACTGCTTTGTTGATATTCTGGATGCTTCTTTCTGAATGCTTCTAAGTAAATATAATTTTTTTTATTAAAAAAAAGAAATAGAAAAAACTGCCATGCAGACATTATTTGGCCAAGTGACAAAACTTCAAGTAAACAGATCAGAGTACCGGACAGCACCAACACCCGCAGCCATGTCGGTGTTGCTGTGCTTCAGAAATGGTCAAGGCTTCGGGTGAGGGACCATGCTGAACTGTCAAAAGCTCACAAGAGACAAAAACAAGCCCATGGGTCTTGCACATGTGCACCCAAGTGCTGGCGGATGAAAAGTCTATGCTTACAAGGGTGATTCGCATGCTGTGCACCAACACACGCAGATGCCGCAGGAAGCGTGCGCTAAGTGAGAGGTGCACGGGGGCTCTCTATTTTTATGTCATAACTTTTCTGGTCTAAAATTATTTCTCAAAAAGTCAAATAGCTGGGCAAGGTGGCACATGCCTATAATCTCAGCACTTGGGAAGCTGAGGCAGAAGGATCGTTTCAAGTTGGAGACTAGCCTGGGTTACAAAGTGAGTTTGAGGCCAGCCTGAACTGCATAGGGAGACCCTGGCTCAAAAAGAAAAAAGAAGGAAAGAAAAGAAAAGAAAAGGAAAGGAAAGAATAACAAGTAAAAAGTATCTCTGTAGACCAGTATACCTTTCCCACCCATGTCCTGGTAGGCAGAGTTGTGTGGAGCGTGAATCCCTACATGGAGGGAGCCCTGCTGTCTGTACCTGGTTGTAGTGGGTTTCGCAGTACGCCAGGCCCTTCCTTTCATAATGGCGATGTCCAAGAAATGGCTTCTCACACTTGGCACAAACAAAATGCTGGAAAAAAATGCACGAGGTCCCTCATTAACTGCTGCACTTTACCACCTACCAAAGTAACCTCAGAGCTGCTCTCTCTTAGAGGAGACACCTGAGCCTCACTGGATGGCATCAAAGGTGGCCCTTCCGACCCCCGCTGAGAGAACAGTGGGCACCTGAGGAGCAGCTGCCATGGGCTTCTGCACCTGGACCAGGCCCTTCCTGCTGCGAGGAGAAGGACAAAGCATACGCCCTCGTCCCAGGGACCAAGTGGCACAGGGCCCAACACCAGCCCCTGCAGGCACCCACCTCTGCCCTTCCAGACCTCGGCGCTCACCTCCACGTGCCACTGCTTGCCCATGGCGTTCACCACGCGGCCCTCGATGGGCCGCCGGCAGGCCCCACAGATGGGCACCCCCATCTTGTCATGGCACGGCAGGCAGTAGAGCTCCCCCTTCAGCTCCCGGGCGTCAGCAGTCAGTTCCTTCCTGCACAAGGGAGGCATTGAGCACTGCGGCCAGAGTGCTGGCTCATGCACTTGCAGGCCTGGAGGAAGTCACTGGTCCGAGGTGTGACTTCCTCTGTCTGCTCTAGAGGTGAGCAGAGCAAGAGGGCCAGGCCTGAGGGGTCTCCAGCTGCTTCTCTTGCTGCGGCGGAGCACGGCAGCCGCAGTCAGTGTCGGCCTCACCACAACACACTGGCCCGCGGCGACTGCACAGTCACGGTGCCCAGCAGCCTCAGTGCTGCCTGCTAAGCTCTTTTCCAACAGTCACTGAAGTCGCAGCTGTCAGAGCCTAGCTTACCGTAAAATGAGCTAAGCAGAAACAAACAAGGACATGCCCAGGCTCCTTTCCCCATGCTTATGTTAGCTATTATTTTTTGCCACAAAACATTTAGTAAAAGGTGGCCCCAACTGGCCAGAGGGACTTGTGTGGATTTTTTTTGGTTTAAATGATCTTCTAGGAGTGACACTAATGAAAAGCGGATGAGAAAAAATAGAGAAGAAAATGTACTCAGTGAGCTAGGTGTGGTGGTGCACGCCTGTAATCCTAGCACTCAGGAGGCTGAGGCAGAAGGGTCACCCGGCAGGCCCCACAGATGGGCACCCCCATCTTGTCACGGCATGGCAGGCAGTAGAGCTCCCCCTCCAGCTCCCGGGCATCAGCGGTCGGTTCCTTCCTGCACAGAGGAGGCATTGAGCACCGCGGCCAGAGTGCTCACGTTTGGGGCCAACATAGGCCACACAGTGAGTTTAAAGCCAGCCTGAATTATGTAGCAAGACCCTCACTGAGAAAAAAAGGGCATAAAATGCTAATTTAGAGATGAGTTAGCTGAACTTAAGCTTTAAAACTTCCTAGTGCTTCGCCTGCTGTCTCTCTCCCTCCCTACTGTCCTTCGGCATGTATGCGCCTATGAACCCCAGCAAGGGATCCTTTCCACACTGTTTAGATGTCAAGGTGGCAGCACAGACCTGCAGCTTCAGCTAGCCAGAGTCTGAGGCGGGGGTGACTGGAACCTAGGAGCCCGAGGCCAGCCTAGGCAGTATCAAGAGACCCATTCAAAATGAAAAGCAAAACTAAAGCTGCCCTAAAACTCATACGCACTATTAACAGCCTAACAAGTCATACAGACTGTTTAAAGACAAGTTAACAATGTAATCGAGTGAAGCACAATTGAAGATAATACCCTCACTATAACAACTGTACAAGTTGTATTTGTAAACAACTCTCCCGGATCCGATGTTGGAAAACACGACGAAATAGTTCTAGGGACAACGGGCCTATTTCAGCGTGGCCTTTCTATCATGCGTAAAGTTAGTCAGGCCTGTAGTTCTGCAGGAAAACAACTTCCTCCTCAGGAGATGCACACACAGTCACCACACCTACAGCTTGCTCTCAAACTCTCTGTGGGGAACAAGGCATGAGCTACTGCATGTGTGGAGCAGGCACACACGCACGTGTGTACACAGGCCCCTGCACACATACTCAGGGTGAGGGAGGGTGCACGGGGAGGAGGTGGGCGGCACCTGAGGCTAGGACATGGTGTGCACCCTGCCTCGCCGGGTGCCCCCGAGGGCCACAGCAAGGGAGTGTGCTCCTCAGAGCAGCAAGAGCCCCGCAGCACGCAGTGACAGGGAGAGTGCACAGTACCCGCAGTTGGCACAGTTGAAGTGGTCGGGATGGTACGGGTCATTCTTGAAGACCAGGGGCTGCTCGTCGATGATGGCGTGGCACTTCTGGCAGACGTACTTCCCCAGGCCCCGGGCTTTCTCTCGATTGTGACAGGGGCGGCACAGGTGTCTAAGAGGGGCAAAATGGAAACTCAGCCTTAAGTCCTTCCTAATCATTAAAAAGAAACATGCTTCTCCTATCTTTAAAAATAAAGCAACCATGTTTTACAAAGATCTCTCCTGAGCTTAACGGTGGAATCAAGGTACTGCTCGACGCTCCATAGGATGCCCTCTACATGCAGGGCCCCCGGGTCCCGAGGGGCCAGGTCCAGCCCCAGAGCACAGAGCCCCTCACCCGCTATAGTCCCACCTGCCAGCGTTCTTCACGAAGCCAATGTCTGCCAGCACCTCCTGGCAGAGGTCGCAGCAGAAGCACTCGGGATGCCAGCTGTTGTTCATGGCCTTGATGACACGACCGATGATGAATTCACCTGAGGAAAGGAAAGGAACAGTGCAAGTCCAGGGGTGCTGTCTGTGCAAAAGCAAACGTGGGGACAGCTGAGGAGGCGCTACCCCCCACGGGAAGTGTCTGACTGGCGTCCCCAGAGTAAGCACACACAGAACACACACGGCCTTCATTTCATGGAGCCCTTGGGCTTGGTCCTGTAATGGCATTTTGGGCCTGTTTCTACCATGTTTGAATCTCGCTTTCTTGTTAATGTCCTGGGCTCGTTTGATGTCTCTGGATATTCCTGGGCATCACTGACAAAGACAACTGAAATCCACAGCATGTTTTCTTCAGTGCTCTGCGGCTCCTCACTGCTCACCCAGGCAGGGCCTGGTGAGCGCCTGCGTCACCGAGCTCTCTGCTGTCCCTACAGCACCAGTTCTTATAATGCGTCCTTCACTAACCCTTTGCACCTGCCACCCAGCTCGCCGGTCCCTAGTGACCACCTGGCAGCCTTCAGGCAACCAGTATGGAGAGCTCTATGGGCCTCGTCCTCACAGAGCAAGTGCCTTGCTGAGGGGGACAACTCTAGCAGGCCCGAAAGCCACCCGCTGTGCCGCCCAGCTCTGTCCAGGACTGGACACTTGGCAGCTGCTGTATGCTGAAACAGGGCAGCTAAAGGACTTCTTAGGATACTTGTGCTGTGAGCACCTAGGCCGTCTCCCGCCGGCACTATAATACCCGGCGCAGCGGATGCACCGGGGAGCTTGTTTCCATTCGGCAGCACAACTCACCACACTGGTGGCAGCAGGGAGCGAAGAGCATCTGGAAGTCGTGCTCACAGTACTTCCTGCCTTCAAACTGGAAGAGAAGGAGGCAAGTGCTGAGGAGACGGCCAGGGCCGTGGCCCGGAAGGAGCGCTCCGCCCTACGAGCTCAGGGCCTGGGCGGGAGGTTGCTGCACACCACCTGCTCCGCTGGGCCGGGGAGACAAGGGGCGCAGAGCCAGGCCCCAGGCTGCAGGCCTGGCACCTCTGGCCTGGGCTTTTCTGTACAAGTTACCTTTCCAAATCGGGCCAAAGCTACAGACCCCTTGGCCCAGAAAACACGCACACATGGACCAACGGCTTCTGCATTTTTAGTCCACACGTGGACTTTTTCTCTGTGTACATAAATATCTACAAAGGGTAAATGTTTGGGCACCCTTTTAATGCTAACGTCTGGAAGTGCCTCCAACCTGCTCAGTACCATCAACAGAGGGTGTAGCTGGCAAGCTCAGGAAGCTGAGGTGGGCGGGCCAGCCAAGCCTGCCTGCACGACACACGACCCATTCAACACAAAACAAGGAAATGAACAAACACTCCTTTTAGCAGCCGGAAAGTATATAGCCTTCATTTTTCTTCTTCTCCTGTTTTCATTCACTCCAGATTTATTCTCATGTATTTCTTACACTTCAATTGGTCACAATCATCTGGCCACACCCAGTAAGTCAAGGTTACACATGACATGAAACTTTCCTGTCTTGCACTAAAAATGGTTCACGAGGGGCAGGAGGGCTCGGCATTAATTCCAGCTCTCCGTTTCGCCTTTGGGGCTGCTTCTCTTTCTAAAGACGGGTGCCTAATCTTTCATGTAAGTCGCACAGATCTTACAGTACTGCCTCCTCTTGAGTCTTCGAGCTCCCCACAAGTTACACAGAGAAGTTGTGCGTTTCTTGACTTATCCCCACACATGGGTTGAGGGGAGTACTAGGGAGCGAACTTGGGACCTCGCGCTTGCCAGGCAGGCTAAGCACGGGGCTACCTCCCCCGCTCCTCCAAAATCCATTTTTTTAAAAAATTTTTTTATTTTTGGCAGAACCGGGGATTGAACTCAGACCCTTGCGCTTGCCAAGGAAGCGCTTATTCCACTGAGCCATCTCCCCGGCTCAAAATCCATTTTTAATGTTGTGTTAGTTGCTGATCCAATTTCTCCCATATAGCTGTACCCTGGAGAACTCGCTTACTGTCAAACCAGCCCAGAAAGTTTCTTCTTGCCCTTCTCCTCCTAGTCTTCTTTTTTTCTTTCTAGCTCTTTTTTTTTGAGACAGGGTCTTGCTACATAGTGTAGGTTGGCCTTGAGCTCGAGGCAATCTTCCTGCGTCAGCCTCCTGAGTGCTAGGATTTACAGATATGCGCCACCACACTTGGATGCTTCGTTTTTAAATTCAAAAGAATAAGCTCTACTATAGTTGGTACAGTGGTGCCTTGGTTCACAAACAACTCTCTCCACAATTCTGGCCACAAACTGAGTCGGATGAGAACAAAATCAAATTTCTCTATAAGGTCATGGTTGAAACTAACATTGAACCTAGCCAGTGAATTTGACTAGGTATGTACAAAACTTGGATGCTTAGCATTTACTAGCAATTAAACTTAGGCATCAAGAATAAAAACTTAAAAAAAAAAAGAGGAAAAGGAGCTGGGGAGATGGCTCAGTGGAATAAGTGCTTTCCTGGCAAGCACAAGGGCCTGAGTTCAATCCCCAGTCCTGCC